ATTACCTATGGATTTTAAATTCCATGGTGAAATTCATATCCTAAAAATATAAGATTTAAAACAAACAACATCTTAGCCAACCAAATAACCATAATACAAGATTTCTTATTCTTTGATTTCCCACTTTTTTTAGGTAAACAAATAGCCCCTAAAAAGAAAGAAGAAACTTTGCGACTAGCCCTCGAACACTCCCCTGAGAAATCCACTCACAGAAGCACAAATCCTAGAAGCTCGTCCTGCCTCTTATTAACCTTCCTGTCTTAACTGAATTACTTACTATCACACTATCGTCCATCCCCATGCTTCCCTATCTATGTAAACCCCTCTCGTCTCACGTAAAAAATACGTTCCTTCATTTTTCCGTTTTTTGCTCGCATAAAAACATATACAGTGTTTTCTTATTTCTGGAAAAGACACAGACCGAGTTCCTCTCAAACCAAGCCCCAAATTGTTAAGGGGAAAATTACGAAGCTTGGGCCTGGGCTATGGCATCAGCCTTACAAATCTCATATTTTAAATTATTGAGCAACTTTTGCGAGCCCAAATCCCAAGGCCCGATAGTTGCCTCTTAGGGGCTGTTTGTTTCACCAAAGGCTAGGAATAGGATTAGGAATCCTATTTAATTTATGGATTCTAACCTAATCCATAAAAAAATTATGGACAATTTTTAGTTTTATGGAATTCCACTTTTTTTTGGCTTTCAATGTTTGTTTCACCCAAAGGATTAGTAATCTCACTTTTATAGAATTGGTCCAATTCCTAATACTATGTTTGGTTCAAGAAGAATATTTTTCTTGGGATCGTTACTGTAGCAACGACTAGCTCAATTTACATTTAAAAATCACTGTAGCAACGGATTTAAGCCAACAAATTCAAATTTCAAGCAATAAACACTATAGCAACGGCTATTTCCAGGTCTAAAAATTCAGATTTCAATATTCTTAGGCAAATCACCGTAGCAACGGCTATGTCAGGGGCATGGTGGCAATAAATTCACCTTGAGGCCTCAAAATAATCCCATCATTCTTATTTTTCAGCAATAATAAAATTCCCAAGCTCTTCAATTTGCTGGCCCGACATCAAGGATGATATCAGAAGAGTGTTAGCAAAATTATGAAGTTTATTGCGACTGCAATCTCCGAACACCGATGAAAGTGTGCAAGAATGGTAAAAATAAGGGTAGGTGTTATTGGGGGTGTGCAAAATTCTCAAATAAAGAATGCAATTTTTTCAAATGGGCTGAAGAAAGAGGAGAGTCATCAAGCACCCAAGGAAGCCAATATGTCAAAGAAAATAGGTACGGAGATAAATATATTTTGCAATCAAAGAAGCTGAAGAAAGAATTGAGACTTGTCGAAAATCAACTACTAGCTTGGAAAATTTCTATAATTTTCTTAGCAATTTTTTGTGTTATTTTAATTATTACAAACTTCATGTCATGTACTTGTAATTGCAAAAACTATTGAGGATGTAATGAAAACTGTTGTTTGAATTGGGTGCAAATTCTAATTGATATTGTATGGCTCAGTAATAGATCAACTTGTCATAATTGATTGCCCCACCTATAACTTACATGTTTATTACAGATTGCATTATAAGGATGAATTGCCTCGCCTAGACATTGTCAATTCAATATAGGCTGCAATCCCATCCCCTTTTGCCTCATCTGGATATAATAAACGATGTAAGTTAGATTGCATTCTCAGTAAACGCTGATCATCATCATTGCCATATATCAAGTGCAAGGAGCTGCACAAGCTCAAAATTAAACAGCAAGTAACCCACAGGCTCGGAAAAACAAAACAACAACATACCCTAGCAGCAATGAGCTACACAAGCTCTAAACAAAACAGCAGCAAACCCAGCTCCATATAACAGGCACAACCCCAAAAAGCATGAAAGATACACAAGCTCAAATAAAACAACACCAAACCCCAGCTGCAGCAGGAGCTGCACAAGCTCAAAAACAAAACAACAACAACCCTAGCAGCAAGGATCTACACAAGCTCCAAGAACAAAACAGCAGCAAACCCAACGGATAGGGGGTAAACAAGCAACAAACCCCAGCTGCAGCAGGAGCTGCACAAGCTCCAAATAACAGGTATTTTTCAACAAAGATTGGAGCTACACAAGCTCAAAACAAAACAGCAACAAACCCCAGCTACAGCAGGAGCTGCAAAATTAAGGAAAAACAGGCACAAACCCAGCTAGCAAGGATCTACACAAGCTCAGAATAAAACAGCAAGAATATTGAAACCGCAAGGAGCTACACAAGCCCCAAATAACAGCCACAAATCCAAACTAAATGAGCTAGACAAGCTCCAAACAACACAGCAAAAAACACAAGAGCAATAAGCTACACAAGCTCAGAACGAAACAGCATCAAACCCCAGCTGCAAGGAGCTGCACAAGCTCAAAAACAAAACAACAACAACCCCAGCAGCAAGGAGCTACACAAGATCCAAGAACAAAACAGCAGCAAACCCAGCAGATAGGGGGTAAACAAGCAACAAACCCAGCTGCAGCAGGAGCTGCACAAGCTCCATATAACAGGCACAACCCCAAAGAGCATGAAAGATACACAAGCTCAAACAAAACAACACCAAACCCCAGCTACAGCAGGAGCTGCACAAGCTCCAAATAATATGTATTTTTCAATAAAGATTGGAGCTACACAAGCTCAAAACAAAACAGCAGCTGCACAACTGAGGAAAAACAAGCACAAACCCCATTAGCAAGGAGCTACACAAGCTCAGAATAAAACAGCAACAAACCCAGCTAGCAAGGAGTACACAAGCTCAGAATAAAACAGCAACAAACCCAGCTAGCAAGGAGCTACACAAGCTCAAAAACAAAACAACAACAACCCCATTAGCAAGGAGCTACACACAAGGAGCTACACAAGCTCAAAAACAAAACAACAACAACCCCATTAGCAAGGAGCTACACAAGCTCCAAATAAAACAGCAACTAACTCAGCTAGCAAGGAGATACACAAGCTCCAAATAATAGCAACAAACCCAAAGGGATTGAGGAGCTACACAAGCTCCAAACAACACAGCAAAAAACACAAGAGCAAGGAGCTACACAAGCTCCAAAAAACAGTCACAAATCCAAACTCAAGGAGCTACACAAACCCAAGAACAAAACAGCAACAAACCTGATGGCAAAAAAACCCAAAGCCAAAGACTTCCTAAAGCAAAGGAGCAACATTAAGAACTCATTGGTCATGCCTATCCATACTTACCTGCACCAAAAGTTAAAAAGTACCAATTCATTAATTACATGACGTCATAGCGTTTTCATAACAAGAAGTATTGCAACATTAATAGTTTGCAAATAACAAAATGATATATGCGCAACAACATATACGTGTGCACAACAAAATGCTCCATCAACATGTAATCCAAACCGCACAAATTAGTTAATAGACCAACCTTGGTCATTAATCAGGTTGGTAATGTACCTCTGCTAACCTTCCTTTCCTTTTATGAAAAACCTTCTAGCTTCACGTTCATTGTCATATAAGTGATCTAAAATCCTATCCAGGAATTCTTCAGAGTATTCATTTCTATGTTCCTTCAACGCTGCAGCCAACTGCTCAGTCCAATGAACAATGTGTTGATTTCTCACGGACTGAGACATTGAGTCAACAAAGGCACATAACATTTCCTCTTCACGATTTGATATTTTAGGTTTCTTGTTAGAAGATGAATTCATGTTGTCTTTACTCTTAGACTTACATCTAGTTGGTTGTTGTTGGTTACAAGCATCAGATTGTGGTGTAGTTTCACTCTCCTCTGGAATTTCACTATCATCTTTAGGAATAGGTATGGACCTACTAGACCCAATGTTAGCATACACAGACCTAACAAATTCACCCTTAGCTTGGTCATCACCCATGATAGTTTGTAAATTTTTGAAGTGAGGTAGGGGTTTGTTTATGTACGCTTTGAACTTAGATTTGGATTTGTCCTGCAATAACAAATAATCATAAGTTGTGAACCAAATGTATTAATTACTAATGACAATGTGGATGCTGAATGTTATACCTGAGACCACGATTTCAAGGTTTCGTCATCCAGTGTAATCATTTTATTTATTTCATCCCACCCAGCTCCACTTATATCAAGGCAAGTCTTCATGTCATTGAATTTGTTTCTCAAGCATTTCAAGTGGTTAATGACATGTATATGAGTGAAATCAGTCCTAAATTGATTTTTATCGCTGCCATTTTATAAGCTTCTGCCTTGAAGTTCTTATCTGGCTTTAGCCCATCTAATTCTAATTCTGCAAGATAAGGAATGAGAACGTCATCGTGCTCTGGAAGCCAAAACTTATTAGCCACACCTCTTGAGTTCAACCATGCCCCCAGGCCCGATTTCATATGAGCTAATTTTTTTCCCTTTTTCCATTAGTGAAGTGTGCTCCTCACCATCAACATCATGAATAACCTTCTCTGCTGAATCACCAGTGTTTGGTGAAAACTGATTAGGTCCACTACTTTGAGAACTGGCTGTGGGAAATAGCAAATCTTGTGGACTTCTTAACATGCTCACGTATGACATTGGTTGTTGTGCCATTCCACTATAATTAACATCATATAATGAGAATGGTGAGAATGTATGATGGGTGAAGAGAAAGGTTGTGGTTGCACAGGCTTGAAGTTCATGTTTATGTTAGCAGCTGGATTTGGCGGAGCATTAGAATGAGAAGGCAGGGGTTGCTTATCTGCCTGATTAATAACCATACCTAATATATATTGAACAAGTAGACATTATTATTAAAGAAAGCAAAATCAATATATAATATGCATGCATTTAGCAATTTGCGTTAGAAAAGGAATATACGAAACGCCTACATGTATAGAAACAACATGAAAAGGTCGAAGATGATAATCGTAGTAATGTTTAGTACATGCTAAGAAATATTATAATGGATAGTTGCGAACAGTAAGAAAATAATACAAGTTATTACATCGAGATAGAACAAACATCACATTAAGCTAAACCACTTTTCATTGTGTTACTACCATTATACTTTGCACAATAATCCACCCACATCGCCCAAGCAATTTGATCTCGTAGCTCCTTCCATTCATTTCTTTCATCTCGATCCTCTCTCTGTGTCCTAGTTTGAGTATAATCCACCACACTTGAGTCATCTTCATTTGTCACTTCCCCATTATCTTCATCAATGTCTATATTTTCATTTAAAATATCATCATTTGGATCTTCTATAGCAATGAAATTGTGTAACACAGTACACGCTAGTACAATGTCCACTTGAGAGGGAAGTGGATAATTTGGCTTCGCCGATAGTATTTTAAACCGGTTCTTCAATATACCAAATGTGCATTCAATTTTTGATCTTAAACTTGAATGCCTTAAATTAAACAACTCTTTTCTATTCTTTGGTGTCCTACCGGTGTGCTCTTTTAAATGATATCGTACACCGCGATATGGGGATATGAAGCCTGGCATTGTGGTGTATCCAGCGTCACATAGGTAATATTTACCTACATTACAATTAAATAATATCTTCATATCACACTATTAACAAGTATTTAATTATTTCTTAATTATGAACAAGTAAGAATTAATACCATCATAAACTCGAAGCCCAAAAGGTTGTGGTCTCGACAAAGCATCTTATAATATCCTATAGTCATTTGCTGCTCCCTCCCACCCAGCTAGGACATAGGTGAATAGTTTATTAGGGGTGCATGTTGCTAGGACGTTTTGTGTCACACCTTTTCTCCCTCTAAAATGGGCAACTAGGTTACTGGGTAATACCGCGTCAACGTGTGTGCCATCTATCATACCAATGCAATCCTATAAAAAAAATATAAGATTCACTTTAAAACAGATGTTGAGGTGTATGTATTATTTTTACCTTGAAGTAAGAAAAATAATTTGGGTTGTTTGCAATCTCTGCAGGAACTTCATTTGGAGCTTGCTTCATATAGCGATCACATAACCCATTCATTGCTTGTAGGACTTTATTGAAATACCTACTCACTGTTTCTCCCGATCTTATAAACTCAGTCCTTATTATTCTATTTTTAGTTTTATGCCCCACTATACTCAGGAACATAGCGAGCTCTTCTTCGACTTGTACATGTCTGGAATCCTTTAATAAACAATTTTCTTTCATTACTGTAGCAAGTTTAAAAAAGGCACTCGGTCTCATTCTAATGTAAGACCGACAACTATCATTATAGCCTTCCAATACACGTTTGAAGTGAGCTTCTCTGTAATAAATTTTTTGGATTTTTTTCCTCCTTCGTACAAGATGAAATTCTCTTGCGCTTAGCAAGCATTCTTAGAATACATGTTATTACTGTGACCACCGCAGACACAGCTGTATTAGCACACATCCTCTTCAATTGTTCTTCATCTACGTTATCCATCTAAATCCATTGTAAAATTAGCATATATTTACAACTTAACAGTAATAATGTTTGGAAACTAAAGATAATTAAATAACTAATAAAAATATTAAAATCGTAAAACCATATATCTACATATCCACAAATATATATCAAGTAGTGAAACAACTATTTCATATTTTGCACCCTAAGCATGTGCGCTGATCAAACAAATATAATTAAGGTTTTCATTCCATGGTTTAGTCCTTTGAAGGACTACAACAACAACAATCCCAGAGAACCAAAGCTCAATAATCAACTATACACCAAAACCCTTGATTCATGAGAGATTAGACATGTAGATGCCAAGCAGTTGCGAATGAAACCCCACTGACAAATAATTCTAATAAAATCAGTAATAAACTATATATCAAATGAAACAACCACCGAACAATACCCTTATTTCAATAATTAAACATATACCAAAATCAATAATTCCACTACCAATGTTAATTTTATCAGAGCAAGCACAATTAAATAATCACATTAAAATGGTTAAATTGATTTATACCTGCAGATGCCAAGCTGTTTCGAATGGAATAATTCAGAAATTGATGTTGTTACCAATAAACCCTACCGGACGGAACAACCAGCAAACCCAAGAACCTAATAACAATACCAAAGATCAGCGGGAGAAGAACAACCAGCAAACCCAGAAATTAATGTCGTTACCAACAACCCCCCCCAGCCAAGAACAATATCGAAGAACAGCGGGTCGCGGGGGAAGCCGAGCCCAAAATCTAGGGCAAATCCACAAACCGAAACCCAAATAATATCGAAGAACAACAGAAGAGGAGGCGTGAAGAAGCTTGGGGAGAGGCTGGAGAAGAAATGGGGAGTTGCGATTCCAGAGCTAGGGTTCGAAATCGAGAGGATTAGGAATCAGAAAACGAAAACCCCAGAACGATGTCAGAATTCTCGCCCAAATCCTCTCCCCCCTCTCCGATTTGGGTTTCTTGAAAAAACGCCAACTGTTGCAACTTTATGAATTTTGCAATCCATAAATTTTCCCCCAGCCAAACTCTAGAATAGGATCCACAAAGATTTCATAAATTATACTTTTGCCAATGTCAGACCTCAAATACTAATCCTTTTCTATAAAAAGATTAGTATTTGGATTCTGACAGTGGCAAAAGTGTAATTTATAAAATCTTTGTGGATCCTAATCTAGAGTTTGGCTGGGGAAAATTTTATGGATTACCAAATCCATAAAGCTACTACAGGTTGCGTTTTTTCAAGAAACCCAAATCGGGGGGGAGGATTTGGGCGAGAATTCTGACATCGTTCTGGGGTTTTAATTTTCTGATTCCTAATCCTCTCGATTTTGAACCCTAGCTATGGAATCGCAACTGGGCATTTCTTCTCCCACCTCTCCCAGGTTTCTTCGCGCCTCCTCTTCCGTTGTTCTTTGATATTATTTGGGTTTCGGTTTTGTTGGATTTGCCCTAGATTTTGGGCTCGGTTTCTCCCGCGATCCGCTGTTCTTCGATATTGTTCTTGGTTGGTTGGGTTTGTTGGTAACGACATCAATTTCCAGGTTTGCTGGCTGTTCTTCTCCCGCTGATCTTTGATATTATTGTTGGGTTCTTCGGTTTGTGGATTTGCCCTAGATTTTGGGCTCGGCTTCTCCCGCAATCCGCTGTTCTTCGATATTGTTCTTGGTTGGTGGGGTTTGTTGGTAACGACATCAATTTCTGGGTTTGCTGGTTGTTCTTCTCCCGCTGATCTTTGATATTGTTGTTGGATTCTTCGGTTTGCTGGTTGTTCTGTCCGGTGGGGTTTGTTGGTAACGACATTAATTTCTAAATTATTCCCTTCGCAACAGCTTGGCATCTGCAGGTATAAATCAATTTAACCCTTTTAATGTGATTATTTAATTGTGCTTGCTCTGATTAAATTAACATTGGTAGTGGAATTATTGAATTTGGTATATGTTAAATTAACATTGGTAGTGGAATTATTGAATTTGGTATATGTTTAATTATTGAAACAAGGGTATTGTTCGCTGGTTGTTTCATTTGGTATATAGTTTATTACTGATTTTATTAGAATTATTTGTTAGTGGGGTTTCATTCGCAACTGCTTGGCATTTATTTGTTAGTGGGGTTTTGGTATATAGTTGATTAGTGAGCTTTGGTTCTCTGGGCTTGTTGTTGTTGTAGTCCTTCAAATGACTAAACCATGGAATGAAAACCTTAATTATATTTGTTTGATCAGCGTGCATGCTTAGGGTGCAAAATATGAAATAGTTGTTTCACAACTTTATATATATTTGTGGATATGTAGATATATGGTTTTACGATTTTAATATTTTTATTAGTTATTTAATTATCTTTAGTTTCCAAAAAATATTACTGTTAAGTTGTAAATATATGCTAATTTTACAATGGATTTAGATGGATAACGTAGATGAAGAACAAGTGAAGAGGATGTGTGCTAATACAACTGTGTCTGCGGTGGTCACAATATTAACATGTATTCTGAGAATGCGTGCTAAGCGCAAGAGAGTTTCATCTTGTACGAAGGAGGAAAAAATCCAAAAAATTTATTGCAGAGAAGCTCACTTCAAACGTGTATTGGAAGGCTATAGTGATAGTTGTCGGTCTTACATTAGAATGAGACCGAGTGCCTTTTTTAAACTTGCTGCAGTAATGAAAGAAAATGGTTTATTAGAGGATTCCAGACATGTACAAGTCGAAGAACATCTCGCTATGTTCCTGAGTATAGTGGGGCATAAAACTAAAAATAGAATAATAAGGACTGAGTTCATAAGATCGGGAGAAACAGTGAGTAGGTATTTCAATAAAGTCCTACAAGCAATGAATGGGTTACGCGATCGCTATATGAAGCAAGCTCCAAATGAAGTTCCTGCAGAGATTGCAAACAACCCAAATTATTTTCCTTACTTCAAGGTAAAAATAATACATACACCTCAACATCTGTTTTAAAGTGAATATGTATTTTATTGAATATATTATAACTTATATTTTTTTATAGGATTGCATTGGTATGATAGATGGCACACACGTTGACGCAGTATTACCCAGTAACCTAGTTGCCCATTTTAGAGGAAGAAAATGTGTGACACAAAACGTCCTAGCAGCATGCACCCCTAATAAACTATTCACCTATGTCCTAGCTGGGTGGAAGGGAGCAGCAAATGACTATAGGATATTACAAGATGCTTTGTCGAGACCACAACCTTACGGGCTTCGAGTTTATGATGGTATTAATTCTTACTTGTTCACAATTAAGAAAAATTTAAATACTTGTCAATAGTGTGATATGAAGATATTGTTTAATTGTAATGTAGGTAAATATTACCTATGTGACGCGGGATACACCACAATGCCAGGCTTCATATCCCCATATCGCGGTGTACAATATCATTTAAAAGAGCACACCGGTAGGACACCAAAGAATAGAAAAGTGTTGTTTAATTTAAGGCATTCAAGTTTAAGATCAAAAATTGAATGCACATTTGGTATATTAAAGAACCGGTTTAAAATACTATCGGCGAAGCTAAATTATCCATTTCCCACTCAAGTGGACATTGTACTAGGGTGTACCGTGTTACACAATTTCATTGCTATAGAAGATCCAGATGATGATATGTTAAATGAAAATATAGACATTGATGAAGATAATGGGGAAGTGACAAATGACGATGACTCAAGTGTGGTGGATTATACTCAAACTAGGACACAGAGAGAGGATCAAGATGAAAGAAATGAATGGAAGGAGCTACGAGATCAAATTGCTTGGGCGATGTGGGTGGATTATTGTGCAAAGTATAATGGTAGTAACACAATGAAAAGTGGTTTAGCTTAATGTGATGTTTGTTCTATCTCGATGTAATAACTTGTATTATTTTCTTACTGTTCGCAACTATCCATTTTAATATTTCTTAGCATGTACTAAACATTACTACGATTATCATCTTCGACCTTTTCATGTTGTTTCTATACATGTAGGCGTTTCGTATATTCCTTTTCTAACGCAAATTTCTAAATGCATGCATATTATATATTGATTTTGCTTTCTTTAATAATAATGTCTACTTGTTCAATATATATTAGGTATGGTTAACAATCAGGCAGATAAGCAGCCCCTGCCTTCTCATTCTAATGCTCCGCCAAATCCAGCTGCTAACATAAACATGTACTTCAAGCCTGTGCAACCACAACCTTTCTCTTCACCCCATCATACATTCTCACCATTCTCATTATATGATGTTAATTATGGTGGAATGACACAGCAACCAATGTCATACGTGAGCATGTTAAGCAGTCCACAAGATTTGCTATTTCCCACAGCCAGTTCTCAAAGTAGTGGACCTAATCGGTTTTCACCCAACACTGGTGATTCAGCAGAGAAGGTTATTCATGATGTTGATGGTGAGGAGCACACTTCACTAATAAAAAAAGGGAAAAAATTAGCTCATAAAAAATCGGGCCTGGGGGCAAGGTTAAACTCAAGAGGTGTGGCTAATAAGTTTTGGCTTCCAGAGCACGATGACGTTCTCATTCCTTATCTTGCAGAATTAGCATTAGATGGG